GTCCTAAATTAATTTTTACTTCTTGTAATGGAGGATGAATTGAGGTTACTACTTGATCGTCTTTTAATTTTCATTTTTTATATAAACTAGTTTGAACATTTATCTGTGGTGTATTATATATATCAATTATTCCTATTTTTGAAATATAGAATGATAACCAAGTAAAGAAGGGAAAATCAAATTTTTTATTTTCTAATTCTTTTTTCCATTCTAATATTAAATTTTCTTTACACTCTGGCGATAATTGAAAAAATCAAATTCTTTTTTCTGTATTTTCTTCATCATCAAAATCTTCTTGTAAATATTTATGATTTATTTTATATTCTTTACTTATTACATTTATTTCACCTCGCATTTGAGAATGTGTTGGGGAATATTCTGATTTATTTTGATTGATTACTTCTGGAACAGGAGTTTTAAATTTAAATGTTGAGGAACTTTCGGCAATAAAAGTTGTATCAATTGATTCATAACTAGATCTTCTAGCCGGAATCCATGAATGACTTGAAGTTGAAGATCTTTCTCTAAATGAAGAAAATCTTAACAAAACTTTTCCACCAGGTTCTTCTATAATATCTTCTACATTTGTTTGTTCTATGTTTCTTGGTGCTTGTGGATTTTGAATTATAAATTCATTAGGTATACTAATTTCGTTCCATTTTAATCTTTTGGGAGTATAAGTAGTAGGTCTATCTGCATCAACTTGTAATAATGTTGTTTCATCTTTTAAAGTTGGAGTCATGATAAATTTTGGATTTAATTGAGAAGACAATGGTCTATAATACATTCTATAGATTATAGCAAAATTCTTAGTATGTTTTTCAAATTCATCACCTTGTAAATGAATATCTAATATGACTGAATTCAGAACATGTGGATCTGTTAAGTCTACTGAAAAATTTGGAGCACAGTTAAAGTAAATTGGTCCATTACATACATTTGTTTGAATCATAGATAAAAGAGAGGTTTTATATCTTTTGAGTCTCGTATCTCTTAAAGCTAGATATATAGGAGCATCTACTCATAGATGGAATGATGGTTTTACCGCAACTTGAATTAAACCTATATGAATATATCTATATCCTTTACTAAGATATTTCTAAATTGTATTATGATTTAATAACGGAATTGTTTGATATTCTTCTTGAATAGAAATCGTTTCCTCGTGAGTTTTAACTGATAACGCTATTTTGAAATCTAAAGGGCCTATTCTATAAATATGTTCTATTTTTTCTTCTGGAATAGTCCAATCTGAATTATTTACAGGCATATGATATTCATGACTTTGTACTGTATTTGCTTGTTTTGAATTAGATCCTATCTTAAATTGTCTAAGAAATGCAGCCATGTTTAATATTTTATTTAGTCTTTTATCTTATCAGGAACAATCGAGCCTATGCGTGGAACATCCTATCCTGGACTTACCAACCGACTTACAAAGCTTCAAAATCTTACCAATAATAAGATAAAATCGTAAATGAAATATATAACATAAAAGCATAAATTAGAAATTTTATATAAGAAATAATTCAAAATTAGCAATAACTATGGTCTGGCTCTGATACCAGAACCAACCCAGGCATATAAAAGCATATAAAATTTAGATAAACTTGAGAAATAAGACTTACAAATAATCAGAGTGACCTTTGCAATGGAAGCTTTAAATTTCAGAGGCTTTTGGATGAGATCAAATTTCGAACTTTTATTGAACTTCTTGAATTAAAAGGCGTACAAAGAAATATAAAAACTGGAAGAGGAAAGTTTACAGAGAGAAATTCTTAGAATTGCTAAAAGACTCGATCCTCTTTCTTTTGATATTGAATCCTATTTATAGAGACTTCTTTCTTTGAATTTCATTTGCATTTTCATGCCGACACTTTCATTTGAATGTCATTTGCTTTTCTTGCCGACACCTTATCTTCTTGTAATTGGTCCTTTTGAGATTCTTATCTTATCTTGAAATCGGCATCTTTGAGATTGGCCGACAACTTTATCAAAAGTCTGTCGGGTCTTGAGCACATGGGCCACCGAAAGGATCAAAAGTGGATTCTGATGATGATCCGGCTGACTCATCTTTTTTGTCTTCTTCCTTTTATCTTGATTTTGCAAATAATTCAGATATTCTTTGAGCATTTCTGGATTTTGCATCATCTTTTTCATCAGGAAATCATTTGCAACTGTTTCCGTTGTTGAGCAGCTTTCTTTTTCTTTCTTTTGTGGGGTTGTTGGAATGTTAACTCCTTTGGTATTTTGCTGATTTGGATTTGTCCATTTGAGCTTCTCTCCTGTTTCCAAGAATCTGAAAACATTTCTCTGGTCACAGAATTCTTGATTGAATCCTATCCACCATTTGATCTTGAATTCTTGAACTAGTGACATTGGAAGTGGTTTTTCAAGTTCTTGATGAATTTTGAAACTCCAGCAAAAAATCCATGGTACTTTGAATTCCATATGGAATAATATTGGTCTTGTATACTCCATTGGGAGTTATACCCCAAAATCGGTCAACAGAGAAAGAAAAAAACAAGAAAAATCGTTGCCTCCGTTTGTTTCTAGCAGAGCATAAAGAGAGTTTGATGTCTCTCCAATTCGGTCAAACATAGGAAAAAAAAAGAATTAGACCAAGTCCACAATTGTGGCTTCTTTCGTTCGTTTCCTCCCAATTGTGCTAAGAAGCAAAAAAAGTCAAAGACAAAAGAAAGTACAATTCTTCTATGCATTTTTATCCTCCCAAAAGAAAACGGTCCTACAATCTCTCCCTTTTCCTACTTTTTCTCCTAAGTAATTGGTATCCAAAATACCAATTACTTCCTAAATAGCAATCCTATTGCAATTCAACTTCTTCAGCGTTTGCTTTCCTTTGGAGTGATCCCACTAATTTCCCAATTTGTAGTCAGCTACTTCACTCATTTTTCTGAAGCTTTCCACGTGCGAATAATCCGGAGAATCCGGCTTTGAAGGTTGGAGTTGGGCGGGGGCACGTCTAACTGTCAGGAAGTTTTCTGAAATATTGATTTTCTGCACCTTTTCTTCACCACTTCCTGCAATTAACACCAAACACAAAACCTGAGTAGAATCCACCAAATAGTGCAATATTTAGTCAAAACAATTATGCAATATTATCAAAATATCTCACTAAAATGCACCCTATCAGTTCTACTTTTCGAAACTAACATAAATCCATAAACCATACGAGAAACCTCCAATCACATGACTGAAAGAATCTAAATGCTCGTCACAATCAAAATCTCCATGACCAATTTGGTCAAAATAATAACAAAAAATAATAAAACTAGTATTCAAATTTTATTATGCATACCTCTTATTCAGCGAACAACTTCATAATTCATTTCAATGAATTGACTAGTTAAAAATGGATCTTAAACCTAAGATTCATGCCCCATGACATTTTTATCGCCCTTTGCGCCATAACTTTCATAACATCAGTTCTATTGCCAATAAATTCTGTGATTTGAGCATCTATCTATCAAGTGGAAAAGTGATCCAAAAAGAATAGGAATCAAATTTCGCTTTTGGTAACTGAACGCTGCCAATATAATCTCTAATAACAAAAAGGTGACCATCAAATATCCATAGACATCCTAAGATCACTTTCTTTGTGTCAACCAAGCTATTAAATGTGTATAGAAGGAGAAATGGTATTATTTTCAATTGTTTCATTAGGATGAATACTGTCAATCTAAATCTTGTTTTAATATGACAAACATTATTTGATGACTTTATTTAAGTATGCAGGATACTTTAAGTGAAGACCTTGTAGTGTTTGACATGGAAAACAAGGTGACAAAAGAAATAAGCCAATTGAGGAAAGCCTGATCTTTTGAATTTTGTTAGAATTTTGTTGAGGAAATCTTTACTTAATTATCGTGATAACATTGAACTCTAAGGTCATTCTCTAGTCTCTAGGGTCAACCTGTTTATCAGTGTCTAAGATATTTCTCAAATTATTTTTGAAAAGTTTTTAATAATATATTTTGTGGTCAAAATTAACTCTCTATGAGTTTCCTAGCATTTAATTTTTTTTTTGAATTTCTATAAATTAGTCAAATAATCTTTCATACAAATCAAAGTTAGTACTTTCATAAAAGATCTTGATTCATTTAGCAATCCATCTTTGTTTACATGCTACCCTCCCCTTTTCAAAGTTAAATTGTCATTTTATGAAAGTCAATGTTATATCTGACTTTCTCATTAAGGTCTGATAGATTTGATTGTTTTCCAATTAAAAATATCCATAAATCATTCATTATATCTAGATTAAATCTTTAAATTGAAACAATAACATTTTCAATCATCAAACACAAAAACCAATAGTCAGTTCTAACATAAGTTTTCTATGACCTCTTATTTTGTGGTCAAAATCTTTACAAACCATTAATTGTCCAATGGGTAATTAGTTCCATATGATTCTACAAACAACAGAAGTATTCTTCATTCTAAGCATTAGACTTTGTGAAGTGTTTAAGTGAAAATCTTTTATTGAGTTCTTGTGGTTATAAACTAACCTCTTATTTTTCTTGCAAAAATAATCTAGAGACATCAACGGTGTTTTAGAAAATTTGTGCAAGATTGAGGGCAATCTAGTTGAGCTACAACTTGCTAGCATCGATCCTTTGAATTTGATCTTCTCTAGTATTAGGAAAGTTGCTAGGGTTTGATCTTTTCTTGTATAGGGAATTAAATGTTGGAAAACCTCCATGGTTAGGCCTTGGTGCTGAACTATCATAAAAACCCTATTCCTTACTCTTCAATTTCTATAATTTTATTTTATGTTATTATTTTTCTATATTTTTACTCTGATTCTTTTATTTCTATTCAAAATATTTGTTTGGGGTATTCATTAGGAAAGGTTATGTAACGACCCCACTTCCTTATAGGGTGTACTCTAAAAGTTAGCGGATCGTCTGTCTGGCTCTCGCCAGAACTCGTTGATTTCACATTAACTTCAGAGATAACCGTTTAATAATTTCCATTAACCATACATTAACTCCAGAGATAACATTTTGATAAACCAAAACCAACCGTTCACATTCTTTTACAATACCTTGATGATACAATATTCCTACCTTATTAAGATACTAATCACAAGGCTAAAGTCTTCACGATAAATCCCCAAATTCCCTCGTTCGATCCCCGACCTCCAACTCCTGTAAGGAAAACAAAGCTAAAAGGGCTGAACTAATGCTCAGTGAGGTTTGCTGAGCAAGTAACATTTAATAAACACTTAAATCAGTACAATTAAGCAAGTAATGCACAATTCACTTTACAATCACTTTCATTAAGCAATTGAGGAAACACTTCACTAAACAATCACTTTTAAAAGGATACGGTACTCGCATTAGAGCCACTTCAACGTCATTGAGCATTCATTTTAGTGTCAAGAGACACTCATTTTACTGTCATTGTATATTCATTTCAATATCATTGCACATTCCGCCGATTCACCCCCTTATGTCCTCCAAAACAATTAACAATCCCCTACATTCAATAATCAGTTCAATAATCTCCCAACCTCATAGTAATACTCAAGTATACTGAAACATTTACCCAAAGCTACTGTCCTACCCAACCAAGCCCTTTGCTGGCTCGAATAGTCCGTTGAACAGAGGATATTGGGGCCTAGTTCAGCCGATGCGGCGAGGCACACATACGGCTTACATTCATGCATACTTACAGTAACATTCAGTCAATTATCGACCTTCAAACTCAACTAAGCCAAGTGCGATGAAGTACACCCTCGACTTAGAAGGCGAGAGACAATTGAGATACACTTCACAATGAATCATTTAGTAATAATTCATAATAAACACATTTGTCACATAATTGCACTTAGGTACACATAAACAATTAAACACATAAATTCAGAAAACACTCACCAAATATCCAAATGAACTATTCAGGAGCCAATGAACTATTCGCGAGCCTCGCATTTGCTTCCTGACTCACAGCTACTTCCTGGGGCAATTTAATAAGTTCAAAGTAAATATATAATTTGTAGTCGCATTTGCTTCCTGACTCACAGCTACTTCCTAGGGCAATTTAATAAGTTCAAAGTAAATATATAATTTGTAGGTAATCACTTATCATTCTTACTTTATTATCTAAACTATTATAATCAAGTTTGACCTTAAAATATAAATATATTCTTTATTTACCATTTATCCTACATTTTATTTCGAAACCTATTAATTTTATCATTTAAACCAAGAATTATACATATGTTCTAAGGTTATAGTTTTTATAGGTATTTAAATTAGCTGTAACCTATTTTCCACCCAAAATCTTAAAATGCAAGCTTAGAAACACTCCATTGGTTCTCCTTTTATCTAGCCAAAGTCTAAGTTGTGTGCACTTTAAATTTTATTTCACTACACTAGCCTCTAAGTTTCATAGTTTTTAAAATACTTGTGAAGACAAGCTCAAGTGATTATAAGCCATTTTAGAAATCAAAGTTCAAAGTTGATAAATTTTTTAGAGGTTGGCAACTTAGTATTCCTATGAACTTCCTTGATTATATCCTATATTTTGAATGAATTTTCACAAGTAAAATTGTTATAAGGTGGTTTGAAGGGGTTTTGATCAGTTTTCGTTCAAGTTCGACTTTTAGAATTCAAGTTAAACTCAAAATTTAAGCACTTGTTTAAGAATGGTTCAAAACAGCTTTTCAGCAACAGGTAGTCAAGTTTCTTCCTTTAGTTTGCTATTTTCTCGCTTAAACTTCCTCAAATTCAAGGTACATTTTACTGCCATTCTGTTATAGGTCGTTTTTGGTTAAGGCTTAGCTAAAATTTTCAGAAAAACTCAACAATACAATCGAAATCATCCAATCAACCCAAATCTACCAAAACAGTTCCGCATGCTTGATTAGCTCCCCTTTTCTTTCTCTAAGATTCAATTATTTCCTCTCAAATTAGGACAATCACAATATTCAGAGTAAAACAGAGGAGTAGGGATGTTTTGGATCAATATATGCATATATTCCAGGTTACAAGATGAAATCTAAGTTTGAGAAAACACGAGAGCATTCTTGGTTCAAATCTGGGATTTCCAGCCATATATCTTTACCAAAATTGCATTTAATGCATCAAACATTAACCAAATTTGACATGCATTCATCATTGAACATAATATATAATCCCTAGTAGGATTTCCATCAAGAAATTCACCAAAATCAACATTTAAAAGCTATCTAACTATCCAAGTTTCAACATAAGCAAAGCTGGGAGGAAATCCAGCAAACATTCGGTTCAAGTGAGGGATTTTCCCAACAAATTTCATCAAATCCATCCCAAATCGACATGCAATCTCATGACCACTGAAATGAGAACATGTAACTTCTAAATCCAGCAAAATTTTGAAGAAAAGAGCCAAAAATTGCAGCTTTTCTCTCGTTCTGTTGTCCAGAAAATTTTCCAGCCTTGCTTTTGCTCACATATCGATCTTTTCCTTGCTTTAACCTCTTAAAAGTCACATGCATGTTAAGGTTAATGTGTTATAAGGTGTTTTGAACTACCGTATGAAAGCTTGCAGCCAAATTCATAGCGAAAAACTGAAAATTTCTTCCTTTCGCTCTCTCGGCCATGTCATCAAATTTTTAGCAGCTTCTTTCAACAATTTCAGCCAAGTTTGTCAATGATTCACTAGTTTCAAAACAAATATCTTATAAGCCATGAGATTAAACATATATCATACATTTTTAGTGAAATTTCCTCCAAGTTTTCGAATGGACAGTTGTGAACTTCAACTCTCCTACCCTTGGCCAAGTCGAACTTTCCAGAAACGAATCAGTTTTCACACAAGATTTCCTTCAGCAAAACTCACTTTTCTTGGCTAAAAACTATCATGCAACATGAGAAATCAAGAGTGCTAGAAGATTGAGAGGTTTATTACAATTGTTACCTCCCTTTTGCAGACAATCTCAGCTGGAAAAATGTGGACAGTTTCCTCCCTCTGCTCCTCAAAGAATCGCACCAGATTTCTCTCTTCTTGCTCCCCCCGCTGCCTCTAGTTTGCACGCCAAACAGCTGCAGTCCTTCCCCCCTCTCAACTCTCTGTTGGTTGGCTTGGTAATAGGAAATGATTCACTCTTTCTCCCTTACGCTCTCTCGGGTGCAGACTTGGAGCAATGAAGAACCAGAAATGTTTCTCACTCGGTGGTGTTTTGGAATGAATGGTTATGACCGAAACTCTCTCTCTCGGTTTTGTTTCTACTGCTTGGTTGATAAGAAGAGAATTCGACTTATTTCCTTCAATCAGCCGACCACTCAAGCTTCCTCATTCGGTGCTAATCAATCCAAACTCTCGTTCGGTCACTGCCTACTCAACAATTTCGGTGGCAAGTTCATCTGGCAGCTGTCCAAATAACAATCATGCACCGCCCAACTATCACACAAATTCCACTCCTTTTCTTTTCCACCGTTTAGATAGCAGCACCTTACGTTTCCAAGCCCTCCACTTATATGTCTCCCTTTCAGTTTTATGTTATGAAGTACCGTTAGCTGGTTTCTTGGCTGCATGGAAAATTAACCAAAACTCTAAGGTTGGTTTGGTCTTCTTTTTTTTTAATTTTTTTGGTTCATTTGTTTGTCATGAGTTCGTGATTTTATTGCCTCACGCATTGCCCCAAAATTTTTCGTTTGTTCTAATTTGTATGTACCTTGAGAAATTTTCCTTATATCGATCCAGTAAATTTTCACACATTTAGGTTTTAAGGAAAATTAATTAGGCATGTATTTATTCAACTATACAATGAATTAAGATGTCACAATTTGCAATATGTCTATCGTTTGTTTATTTGATTCCTAAAATTTTCTACACCATTCTAGGATATTTCTAAATTCTCAATTTTTATATAAATTCAATTAGACATTTAATTTAACCATTTATTCGTTATAATATTTCTAATAACAAAGCAAATAAAACAAAATAAATTCAAGGCATACACATAACTCTTTTTTTTTTTTTTTTGAGTTCTCACAGGTTAACCTATCTAAGACATTACTATACTCTACCTACCAACTTATTCATTGCTCTAGGTTTGTCTATTCAAGACAATAAATATGTTCAAATAACATGAAACTAACATTAAAGGCCCCCTTTCCCACCCCATTATGCTCAATATTGCAAAAACACCAGCATCTGTCATATCTTCATTTCTCACGCTTTAACACTTCAACAAGTATGCCACCTCTATATTTGACATCTACTTCTTTCTTTTACCTCTCTCTCTCTCTTGGATGCACCCATCCTTCCCTTCACCTTCCTTTTCTTGGTGATTTATGTAGTGCAATCAATTTATAAAACTAAATAAACTTGAGATTAATTACAAATCAAGATTCTTTCAACTCTTAGTTTTATTGTAATTTAATATTTCGTAGAGCTCCTCCTAAGAATGAGAGAAACAATAATCTTTCCTTTATCAGTGATGTACATTGCAATACAATAAACGTAAAGGAGATAAAATCTTCCTCTATGATTTTTTCTCAATTACCCAAATTGTAATAAGCTAACAACTCATCTTGAGTTCCAACTTTATCATTATGTTGTTTGCAATTCATTCTAACTATTATTGATACTAAAATGAGAATAATAATCTACTACATTTAATTGGATTCAAGTGAACGATAGTATAGAATGTCAAAAGTTAATTTGTATATAGATTTGTGAGAGTGAATCACATTGTGAATACAGAATTGAGAATCATATTTTCCAAAACTTGTTTAGAATTTCATCATGATTAGTGATTTCTTGATTTGCTCAGTTTGTTTTTTTACCTAACTATTGAGAGTTGGTTTGTCAAACTACTAAGTCTATTGGCGACTATTGAGAGAAGAAGGAGAAGAAAGAGGGAACAGAGGTTGAGGAGAGGGAACAGAGGTTGAGTTGGAACTTAGGATATATATATATCTTGAATAGGTTGCCATATGAGGTGCCACATATGAGTTGGAGCATCAGACACTAGCCTATATATCATTAATCTAAATAGAAATACATTATCTCCCATGACAGTGTGTATCAAACCTTGAAAGGAAATCTAAACTTTCATCATTGTGGACATTAGTACTTCATCATTAAATTATTATTGGGTAAGCTACTTTGCAAGAATGCAATAAAAGTAGATGCATCACTATCCTATATTGACATCAACATAACCTCTTTTTCATCATTTTTTAGTGTCAAACTTGGCAAATTTTCTCCAACTCCTCTATCATGTTCAGTTGATCATGACACAATCATAGTAGAGAAATTCAAGATGCCAAGAAAAAGAACCAATTAATTAGATTAAGAGATTTATCAAAACTACCAATAAAACAAAGGTGAGAGCATATAAAATGAAAAGAGAGAAAAATCCTAGATATTGATTACTTAACTAAAGTAAAACAAGGAGAATAAAAAGATAAAGTGGAAAAGTGAACCAAAAGGAAGGCACTCGTGGAATAAACTAAAAAAGGAAAAGCAATTGATAAAAAGGATCAAATAACAAAAGTACAAGATTCAGCACTTGTAACGAATATAGACATTTTCAATAGAAGTCCTAGGAAAGAGAAGACTTGCATTGAACAGAAAGCAAAATACTCATAAGGAGCTAAAAGTAAATTACTTTATATTCACTTAATTTAGAAACTAAAAATAATGGTTTTATTTTACTAGTTGTGTCTAGCCATATATACATAGGCCATGGAAGTGGAATTTGAAACTTAAATTCTAATTTCAGTTTCTCAAATGATCTTTTTGTCAATTGAGTAAGAATGAAAAAAAATTGCACAAACAATCCATTACATTTGTACTTTGACTTTCTTTTGGTACTTGCATAAAAAAGAGGATTTTTTTCCTCAATTGTTAAGATTATATAATTATAATCCCGATTGTTTTTAGTTTAAATCATGCATATGTAGGTTATATTGCCAAAAATTTCAAGGTGAAAATGGAAACCATAATTGTTTCCTTCCAAAATAAACAAGATATGTATACTCGCATGCCTCTTCCTTCTTTTAAGTCCAAGTCACATTCAAAACAATTATTTTTATATTTGGGCAGGGATAGAGGATTGGAGTTTTGTGATCAAATCCAAACACAATTGTCAAATGACAATTATATTTTACCTTGAAATCTATACTGCCACTTAGATTTATTTAAGGCCCAAGTTTTAAGCTACTTTTCGAAATTTAGATCGAACAATGACTCAACAGAGTTCAAGGGTTAGGGGTCAAAATGTTCGATTGATTAGTTGTGAGTCAAACGGAATGATGTTATATTGATGATATAAACATATTTTAATTATACATAAAATAATTAAATAGAATAAACATATACTCATTGTCATTTTAATTTTTCCCTAGATGCCCTATATATTAACTTGTCAAATTTATAGTAACTAAGTTGTAATAGTCAACTCATATGTTCCGTTAGCTTAACTTTTGTATATCTGAAATGCATATTATGACTCTCTAATCTATAAGATGACTAATTTAGAATGAAATTAATAGTCATTTTAAATATGCAAAAACTAAGGTAGCAAATGAAAATAATAAAAGAATTTTAGGTGTGTAATTATGATTGTCCAAAATTTTAGGGGTAAAAGTACAAAATGAGAAAAGTTTTTAACTTTAAAAGAAATTCCTTATTAGTTCTCCGCCGTGAAGGCTTCCAACTCCTTATGTCCCCGTCACAAAGTTTTCACTTTTGCTGGTCATGTGTTTGCCTTGTCTTTTCTTTTTTTCTTTTTTTTTTAATGGTTTGTTTTGATTTCTTTTTTCATACTCACTTCTTCATCTCTCTCTCATCTTCCCTTCCATCATTCTTCATTATTTCTTCTTTTGATTTTAGATCTTTTCATCCTTTCTTATGTAAGATTTCTTCACCTTTTTCTTCTTTTCTTTTCATCTTTCTATCTTTTATTATTCATTTGATTTCAGATTTGTTCAAAATTCAACCAAATCTTAAGCTTTTAAGGTGCTCTGTTATGGTTGGTCATTTAGGAAAGTCTAAGAAAAAGATGAAATTTCGACAAAAATAGAACAAAACAAAAAACCAAGTTTTCTTAGATTTCAATGGTTTATGTCAAACTGGGTTTTTGACCGATTTTAACAGAGTTTCTTGCACTCGAGTTTTAATACTAACTTGAACTGGAGAACTAGACGGTTCTCGATTCGACCAGTCAAACCAACCAATATGCTCTAAGTTTAAAGACACAGGTTTTTAGTGTCATGAATTTGCTACAGCCATAGATGGAGTGAACTCTTACCCTTTTTTTTTTTTGAGCTTTTGAACATTTTTTTTCTCAAATTCAACCTATATTTTTCCACAATTGCTTTGAATGTGATTGAGGTTTTGGGAAGAAATATGTAATTGACATGTGCCCATTTTATTGCCAGGAAGGAGTTACACATTGTCCAAGTGTCGCCACTGGTGAGAATTGCTATATTACCTATAATTTTCTTAATAAATTAATTTTGCTTTACTAATTTGTAAATGTGCCCCTAAGTTTGCGATTTACAAAATTGTACTTTTATGCTGAAAATTTTGAGCACTATTCTTAATTAAACAAACAAATAAAGGGCATGGTTCATCATTTTAATGATTACCAAGAACTCTAATACTTTAAAAGAGTGCAGTCCTCTATTTAGTATTGCTATGATGGTACTCTAACGAAATATAAGGCATTAGTGGGTTCCTCGTATCCTCTTACGTCATTTATTAATATGCATGTCGTTTCTTGTTAGTTATTGCTATGTGCATATTTTTGGATGAATTTCATTTGGGCATGGTTGAAAACGGTAAAATAATGTTTATGAGATGAAAAGGGGCTTGATACAACTAGCCATGGGTAATTTTGGAATGTCAGGTTATTTTTTTTTTAAAAAAAAAAGATCTTCAAAATGGAAATGAAAATATATGAATGTCAGGTTATCAAGGCAATGGCAAGCCGAGCAAGCTCTATTACTGAAGAAGCTGGCAACCATCATATCAACTCATTATCGTGTTCCTTGCCTCTCTCTCCTCTACTAATATCACTACTGAAAAATTTACCAGAATTGAGTGGGCGTTGAAAAGGGTCATTACTGTCAGGTCTAGTGGAAGGGGAAAAGGGCACTAAGAATTTAAAACAAGATTTGAGTTTCCAAGCTTCTTCGGCGTTTACGGATGAAGTTTGTTAGGGAGAGCACATAAGAGTTTACAGGTCCTGACAGTGTTCTTGGGTATAGAAATGATAGAATGCTTTTGTGTCTGGGTTTGGGGATTGGGGAAGAATAGTGACATTGAGGAGACGGCGGTGGTAAGGGAGCAGGAGAGAACTACACCAAATTTGATCAAGAGAAAAGGTGGGATTGCCCATCATTAGAGATGAAGGGGTGACCAAGACCCGTCCTTGTTACTTTTTCATGCGGCGGTGGCTGCAGCACAACTAATATGAAGGTGGTGATGAAT